AGCCAGGCGCGGAGAGGGCCCGGCTCTCTTCCCAAGCGGGTGACAAGCCTGGCACGCTGCTCCTGCTCGGTCGAAGGCTCACAGGAGGAAGGGGCTGCACCAAGTGCCCGTGGAGAGACGGCTGAGACGGGTCGGAGCCCACCGGTGGCCTGGTGGCAACGGGCGACATTGCCACGCATCTGCTCCGCTCGCGGTGATGGCAGACGGGCAGGGCGCGTGCAGAGACACACGTGCACTTTTCCAGCCCCTCTCGTCACCCATTTCCTTAGAGGCCACTGGCCAGAGCGAGTCAGGGTCAGAGGGGCGGGCCCTGCAGTGTCACACGGCCAATGACGCGCACACGGGGGATGTGCTGGAACCGGCAACGCCGCACGAGGCCTAACGGATCCCCGCTTCTCTCTCTCGCAGGAGACCAGGGAGTATGAAGTGTCCATCTAAAGAGCTGCGCCCGCCGAGGGAAGCCCCAGATACGACCTCAACCACGACCTCCTCGAGCAGCTCATCCAGGGCCCGGGTGGCCTTGGATGGCAGACCCCCAGAGTGCCGGCTGTCTTTTCTTCGGACTCTTTCTTGAAGACTTACTGTTTTCTCCACTGTATTTATTATATTTAAAACCGAAACGGGTGTGGTCGGGTGCGTTGCGCTGCGGGCCGATGCTGGAGGCCTGCGGGATGGAAACGCAGCGGCGGGGCGAGACCAGGCACAGGGCCCCCCGGGGCGATGCCATTCTGCGGCCGCATCAGATTGCATGCATCTCTTAGACCCGCGCCCACGGTGTCCTTAGTTCAAATCCGAGTCCCCGGGCCAGGTTGGAAACGGTGTTTTTTTTTTGGATTAACCTGGGCTGCAGTTTCACATGGATCCTTAAACAGGGCCGCCCCCCAGACACACCCCGTGTCCCCTCTTCCGGTTTCCCCGGCTTCTGAGAGGTCTTGCCACGTCCCCTCCCTCCCGTGGCTCTTCCGAAAGCAGCAAAGGTGTTCGCTTAACATCTCCTTCACCACCCTGGCCTCCCTGGATGCTGGCAAAATAACAAAATGTTTTCCTTCTAGGACAGAGAGAAATGACAAGGCAAGTCAGAGAGGATGAGAGATGCGAGAGTTGGGGTGAGGAACTGGGCGAGGGGGGAACCCTGGTCGCGGGAATCGAGTTAATAAAATGTTCTTCTCTGACACTCCTTCGGCGACGGAGGAGCAGGTCATTTATGCGACAGGCGCCGGAATCGGTGGCCTCGTCCAGGCTGCGGTCGCAGATCCGCCTTTGGGGGCAGGGGCAGCTTCGTCCTTGGGGTTAGAAGGGTTTGTGTCGGAGGGGACGTACCACGGCCTGAAATCCAGGGGTGAGCCGTGCTTTTCTCCTGGGCTGCTGGAATGCCTGAGCCCTCAAAACAGGGGAGACTCGAGAGCACTGTTTCTCCAAAAGGTGTCATTTCAGAATATATTTGCCATCACGTATTTCAGGGGAAGGGAGGGTCCTAGGAGAAGCAACTGGTTTTCTACTGTCTGAAGCGACGCCCAGATGTTGGACAGGCCCCGGGATGCAGAGAGGCAGAAGCAGGGGGTTTAACACCACAAAGGAATTCACACCATAGGATTCAAACCCCAATGAGGCGAGGGGCAGGGACTTCAGGCCAGAAAGGAATCCATAGGACCTTACTCACTGCACGAGCATCCTTCTGTTTTACCAGCGTCGTTTCATCCCGCCCCAGTGGGACTGGGGAGCGTGTCACTATCAAGGAAGAGTCTCTCCTAAATACAGGTATAAAGAAAAGGCAGGGGTGGCGAGTGCGTGGAAGGAACGTGGGACTGTCAGTCGCCTCCCAGGGACAGCCGATGGCTCAGAGAGGCGCAGAGGGCCAATGCCTCGGGGGTCGTCTTTGCCCCCACCCACGCTCTCTAGGTGGTTTTAAGTCGACTGTTTGCAAACAAGGAAAGGCATTTCCAGCTGCCGTGTCGTTGGGAGAGTGGCTGGGCGTCTGTATTCTGGTAGCTTGTTCTGGAAACATCTGGAACAGCAGAGGGTTCACACACACATAACCCTCCTCCCGGCAAGGACCCTGAACCTCGCTCAGCCTCGGCGGCCTGAGGCTGGAAGATGCCCTCCCGCCGGGGAAGATGAGGCTCCCCAGGGCACCGTGCATGGCCCAGGGCAAGAGATAACCAGGGGCCGCCTGCCAGCCGCCCAGAGCCCACCCCGCTTTCTGGAAGAACCAGAGGAGAAGCTCCAGACCCTTGGTGAGCGTGGAGAAAGCCCAACAGAAAGAACCCAATCTTTGCTTTTATTTCCAGCGTGATGGTTAGTCTAACCCTAACCCCGGGGTGTCTGCAAAGAGCTCTGTTAACGATTCTTCATTTTAGAACATCCGATGGTTCCGTGACGACAAAGCAGTCGCCTCCCGTAAAGACTGACAAAGTGCAACATCTCTATTCTAACCTTGTCCCCAAAACCGGCCAGGCCGTGGCCCAGGGATTCTTATTGGTTATTGGGGGGGATAGAAAAGGCGTTGATTTCCCCCCCCCCCC